GCCAGCAGATTCAGGGGTCGTCTCTCCCTCCGGAACTACTTTAACTCCCATGGCTTGGGACGAGTCTCCTATACCCAGCGACCCCCCAATCAGGTATCGAGAGACCGGTCCCCCTTCTTCCCTTCACGTGGAAGTCCATGGCGGTCCAGATGCTTCAAACGGAACTCCAGCTCCAGACGCCCTTACGGTAAGCTTACATCTACCTCATGTTTCTCTTAAGGTTTGTGTAGGGGGCAGACTCCATCATTTTTTCCCAGCTTGGTCAACCATCACCTCCGATTCTCGAGTTCTGGTCACTGTTCAGGGTTTCCAAATACAGTTGTTCGGTACTCCTTGTCACATCCCTCCACCTCACCCGATCTCCTTCTCCCTATGAGATCGCAAGTTGATAGGCAAAGAATTGTCGGCACATCACGAGAAAGGGACGATCGAACTAGCACCCTCGTTCCCTGCTGGGGTCCTCAGCAACATTTTTGTGATGGAAAAGAAAGGCGGGCAGATGCGCCCTGTTATCAATATCCATCCCCTCAATGCCTTGGTGTGCTACCGCCAATTCAAGATGGAGGGCATCCACCTTCAGCAGTCCTACTCCTTCGCGACGATTGGATTGCAAAACTGGATCTGAAGGAAGTGTACTTCAAGCTCTCAGTGGCAGAGACGTCCAGAGACTTATTACGTTTCCTTTGGAAGGGCGAAACTTGGTGCTTTACATATGTTCCTTTTGGGCTCTCTTCGGCACCTTGGTGCTTCACAAAACTACTGCACCCGGCCATGGCTTGGTTACGCAGTCGGGGCGTGCGTTTGATCGTCTACTTGGATAATATCCCGATCATGGCACAGGATCGCTCCATCCTCCTACGGCACCTGCAATGGACTCCTCTCCTCTCTTGCCTGAGTTTCTGCCTGACTCCTTGGGGATGCATGGAGTTCCTCAGTTTCACCGTGGACTCTGGAGCGGAGTCACTGAACCTTCCAACATACAAGATTTGAACCATCCGCAAGGAGTTACGCCACGCACTGGCACGCCCTCAGATCATGCTATGCCATCTGGCACAGATCATTGTCCTGCTAGCATTCTCAATCCAAGCGGTGTTCCTGGCTCCTTTTTATTACCGTCCCCTCCAGCGACTGAAGATCGCATACCTCCTATGCGGACATGGTCTCTCTGGACACCATGACACAGAGACGTGAGACGAATTGACTTGGTAGATCCACAACCTCTCTGCTTGAGCTGTAGTGGTTATTGTGCCTGGATTGTTCTTTTAAATAATCTACCAGTGCCCCTCCCGAGATTAGGGATGTCCCTCTTTTCCAGGAGCTTCATATTGTGTGTGCGCCTGAGTGTCCATATCAGTAATGTGTCAAACTACAATAAATGCCTTTAGAAATTGGTCTGTGTTAATAAGATATATTGTTCCTGATCTAAATTACATTTTAGTTGCATAAATTATTAGTAAGTCAACTAAAATTTCTCAGAACAACTTGCCACATTCAAACCCCTAAAACTAAATTGTACCTATTTGTAAATTTGGGAGGTTTGTAATAAATCTAAAACAGAGCACATATACTTCTTACATTGAATTTTTTATTTAGGATTTTACAATAGTAAAAAGGCAACAACAGCTACAAATACAAGATAAAACTCAAAATAATAAGGTCCTACCTTTAAATACTGGACCACCATTTACATGCACTCTGTGATGTCATCATTCTCTAAACTTAAATAGTTACATCACAAACAACATGGCTCTGCACCATAGGGCAATATGATATACCTGGCATTTTAGATGTGTGTGCATCACTGCTACAGGGAATGTTTTAATTTCCAATTCTAGGACTGCAGGAATTTGGAAATTCCCACGACATTTATCCAACCTTTATGCGTCACAAACATTTACAGTGACAATTGTTTAATTTTATACAATTAAACTAACCCTAATAAATCCACTCCCAGTCATAAATACTGATTACATCTAATGCTCATTTGTAACAGTCACAGCCATAGCTCAGACTGAAACCTTTACTCAAATCTGTCTTAAACATAAATATATGTTCTGGGTTAAAAAGCATGGACTCGGACCAGGCCTATGATAGGTTTGGGTGGAACCAAGCCTCCCATAAATAGATCCATATAAATACAGAAGCAAACATTTTGAAACGAAATAAATCTTTGCTGGCAAATATTTTTTCTTTTTATTGTTTTATTATATTCTTTCAGGTATGTGCTCACAGTCCTGAGAGTAGATCTGCATAATAGAGGGGAAATGCTGTGTGTGAGAGAGTAAAAGTAATGAAGTGATATGGCATTTGTGTTTTTCTGCAGGTGCTTGAGTAAGAACACTTGACTCTAAACCCTCTAACTTAGAAATAAAAAAAAGGTTAAGCAACACCCTGCTGTAATGAATTACTTTTATTCCAATGTATAACAGAGGATATCATTTAGCATACCTCACAATGTCTCAGAATCAACGGGACAGTCCAAAATTCTGGTTCCTGTCCCACCAACCTGGATTTCTTCACTGGGTTTTCTACTTTTGGGGATTCCAGGTAATTGCCCTAAATAAACATTAGTTTCAGATTATTCGGCTCTGAGCACCAAGGAGCTGTCAGTCAGCCTTCAAGCATTCACATGACATTTTCAGTCTCAAAAGACAATGACCTACACTCTATTAGTGACATGTCCCTCTATAGACCTGTACCACTTTTCCAATTTCACACCTCCCAATATTGGGTGGTATGCTTTAGGAAAGAGGTTGAATCACAAAGACTAGACTCTGGGATTCATTTTGTTATGAACTTCAATTCATCTGAATTTGACTGATTGGGTAATTGTTCGAATTCCTGAACTCCGAGGTGAAATGTAGTGAAATGACAAACCAACTGAAACACCCAATGGCTGAGCAGGTTTGTTTTGATTGGTGATTCTGAATTCTACTTGTGGTGCCAGAAAAAGGCATGTCTGATGAGGAAAAATTAAGGGCTAGGGGACAGTGAGTCAAAAAGGAGGAGCAATACTCCTCCTCTGCTTTTTGTCACTGTTTTCTCACAATACTATGAACCAAATGATGGGAAAATAGGCCTACCAGTGTACTAGAAAATATATACACAATCTTTATGCAATACACACATTGGGCCCTTTTCATGCCCTTTTGGTTTGTCTGATTCATTTTCCAAAATCTTTCTTTGTTAACCCCTTAAGGACACACAATGGAAATATTCCGTAATGATTCCTTTTTATTTCAGAAGTTGTGTCCTTAAGGGGTTAATGAAATTCGGCGGACCCCAAATTATTTTTTATTTTTTGCAGATGTGATTTACCCAAAAGAAAACTTTCTGCCACGCTCAAAACTAATGCAAATACTTGGATAGCCAAATAAGGAAACATATTCCAAAATATGCTTTGTAAAAAAAGACACTTTAAAAAATACTTGTTAAATTATATTTTAAATATATATTGTTTTAAAAACCACCTTTTAATAATTTTGACCATGATTAAATTTAACTAGGAAAATAAGAGAAAACGTTGAGGTAACTTTGGTGTTTAAATGTTATCTGTTGAACATTTTGTATTTTTTAAATGATAGGCATAGCAGTATGGAAACATAAATGATTCACACTGATACTAACCAAGCATTAACAGGAACTGCATTGTTTCTTTCTTAATAAAATAATATTAAGCAAATGTTATAGTAAAAACATGTCAAACATTTTCTTTGATTGTCTTTTTATCTCCAGAATTTTATAAGAAAGAAGTCATAAATATACTCATATACTTCTACTTCTTGTTTTTTCATTTCTGGTTTTCTACAATTAACACATCTCGCTTTCAGATATAAGCCTCGATGAGATGCTGAATGTGTCAGCTTGGCACAGAAAGTACAGTGATGGCAGTTTAGAAATGATTATTCTGTTTTACAATGTAGCTCATCTTCCCTTTCTGTTTTCTTTTAATGTCTCACTACGTCTTCTTTTCTTCTGAAAATTCTCATCTTCATTGTAAACACAAGCTCCTTTGCTTAGTATGCTGCGCTGATCTTGAAGCATGTATTAATTTCTGATGAATCGGTTGTACTGTAGTATGTCACTAAGACTGTAAAGTGCTTCATTAATTAGAGATTTATTCATACATTGTGCAGAACCTTTTTGAAAGGAAATAGAGAAAGATGGATCCTTCAGGACAGCAATAAAATTAGTACATTATCATAAATACTCAATGCAACAGTAAGGGAGTACTTAATTCCGCCTCCAGTCCTACAAATCTGGACCACTACAGAAAGGGGAAGACTACTCTAGATCATGTCACTGGGAGTAATGGCTCCCATATCTCCATCTGAATAATGGATGTAAAAAAAATCATGTTCAGTTCTTCACAGTAACTGGAAAAAAGCCTTAAAGTATGTATTCATACTTCATATATGCTTCATATAATTCATATATATTGTATTCATACAATTATGCTTTTGGCTTATGGACTCAGCTGCTTGAGTGGTTTGTCAGCTGATTCAAGTATATATTGTAATTGCAAATCCATGTCTATATTTACTTTTTCTTTTTTCTTTTAAGATCCAATTTTGAAATTGAAAATACACCCCCCTCTTTTCTAAAGCTAACTGGGCATTGAATGCTCCAACAGGAATTTTATCCAGCTCGATTAAAATGGTTTTACCAAGTCTCCTGAGTTAAAAAATAACTCATTGCAAAGTCTAGTGTTAAGCTAAAATAAAATGAAAAATGCCGTAGAAGAATAATATTACTGGCTAAGAAAAAAATCTATTCTACTTGGTTTTGATTCTCCTTCTCTATAATATGTGGTATAAAATATAGATTCAATTACATAGTAAAGAAGGCAATGCACACATTCAGCAATATTAATAACAATATGTTTATTTTTTCAGTGGATTTGTGTATAACTAAGAATGGGAAGAAACATGTAGTCATCAATACACTCTCGCATGTTAAAAATATACCAAAAAATGAAAATCAAATGTAAAAATAATCAACTCTATGTCTGATTCTTACAGGAACACTTAATTGTGTGCTATAATAAATTTTTGAATGTATTATCTAGTATTATCTAGAATTAGTTTTATTTATTCCAGTGTCTCAAGTATCCTGCTCTCAATAAATCCATACACTTACATTAACTTCAATGGGAAAACCATATAATTAGTAATTCATGATTCAAATCAGTGGACGCCTTTTGAGTTGGTGCCTAGCTCCAGAAACTCATTGAAAGTGCGAATGATATATTTATGAGAATTTAGAAAGTGTAAAAGCAGTGCTTCTTAAACATATCACTGAAGAACTTGAATGTCATTTTTCAAAATTCACTATTCATATTGAAACATATTTGCTAGGTGGTCTTTGAGTACTAGTATATGAAGTTCTACTTTAGGGACAGTTGCTAAGGGCCTAAACACCTTATCCAAGCTCCCTTAAATCATCAACAATGATGTCTCCCAATGAACTTCAAATTTTTGTCTTCTTATAGGGAAGTCAATGTAAAAATATCACCGCAGAGTCGCCAACTGTAACGTTAGAGAGGGCTTCAAGATTTAGCAATGGCATTTAAATAATCCTATTATTAGGAAAGCCCTTCTTTGTTTGTGCTAAGAACATGAATTGTCCAGATTAAGAAAATAATTACAGAAATAGTGAATAATTTTAAGTCAATCATTGTCTTCTTGCCCCTTGTTGTAATGCTCTAATAACAGAGAAGATTAATTAGTCATATATTGCATGACAATTGCAACAATTAAACAAAACATATTTTTGAACAATTTATTCAAACAACATTCCATTGTCTTTCTCATTACAACTTAAAAGAGATTTTTACTCAACTAGCAAACATTCAACAACCTCAAATCATCAAGACAACGTTCACTGGTAATTATGTTTTCAATAACCTATTCTTCATAAATCATAGCCTAACTAAATTTGATAAATAAATAAAATTTTTAGTAAATATATAATGCAGAGTGGATCTGCAAACTATATTCTATGATCAGTAAGTGACACTTTTTTTATTTACAGCGCTAATTTTCTAGCTAACCTTGAATACAAGTTTAATTGTCAGTTTCTATAAATTATTTTACATCCTAAAAATAGTTTCTTGAATATTCCTTCTAAAGGTAATGGTCGTGGTGATTAGACGCTTTTGCCGATCTTCATTCTTATACTTTAATCCATCATTGATATTTCCAAATTCAGATTAAACATCTTTGTTTCCATGATTTCCATTTTTTCTTTAACGTTTGCATCAAAAAATAGGCTTCATAATTATGGTTTTCACCTTTTCTTTAAATGTGAAGACATTTTGAGATGACATTTTCTGTATTCGTTTGTTGAAAAAAAGCTCTGTAAGTAATATTTGTGAGCAAAATAATCTGTCAGTTTTTCAACTTTGAACATGTTAAAAATGAAATATTGGGTGGTTTAACAAGGGTACCCAGAAACTTTTAGGCACAAAATAATATAAGGAAAGCGTTTATACATACAAAATTGTCAATGTCTGGAAATGGTCCATTGGCCAAGAGTGTAATAATAAAAGAAAATGGATTTCTCTCAGAACTAAAAAGTTTCCAGCTTAGAAATCTCTAGATCATCTCCACTGTCTTTCCAACACCAAAAACATAGAAACAAAAAACATAAAAAATGATTGGTGAATCTTTGTTGCTGCAGAAAATTCAAATTCCCTTCTGTCAGAGTCAAATGGTTGAGCTTCCGTGGTGATGACGTCATTTTCTGTAGGACAAATATCATCATTGCACCCACTTCCACTTCCTGAGCCACTTGTCTCTTCACCTATGATTAAATATTACAAAATTACAGTATTGTTAAATTAAGCATGTTCTATGTAAGAACACAGATGACCAGTGGTTTATCTATTTCAAAGTTGACCATACTTGTTGAAGTAGTGTCTGCTTTAAAATCTGCTTTTTAAAGTGTCTGCTTCAGTTTTTAGAAGTTATGGTGGTAAGAGTATTTCTGGTTGAAAAGCTGCACATGCAGACATAATTGCACTTTTCTGCTAGGGGCTACTTGCAGCCCACACATGTGACTTGTTTAAGGCTACCAAATGTCAATTCTGTGCATATAATGCATCAGTCATCAGCATGAAATGCATGCTGGCGACAGATGTTCTCAGCTTATCTGTGTTCCCTCCTTTCCTATAAATTTGAATCCCTGCTCTCTCCCCTCACTCACTCCTTTGTTTGCTCAGAGTCTGTGCACGCGCTTTGAGCCAGAAGGATGGTTCTGTCAAATGCTTCTCTAAGAGAGGGTCTACCCTTGAGTGAATATGGGAAAAAGGCGATGTTGTAGAGAGTTATAATTATGTGTGGATGTTCTGCAGCTGGTACCAATAGGTTGTATGCAAGTCTTGATATTGCTCACACATCTTTATGTGTACAACTGAAACCTGCATGGTTTATTGGCATTGGTGAGTATATCACATTTTTAGTCATAGTGATGACTGTGAATATGAAGATTACAACTCATCCCACATATTCAACATGCATATTCTTATATTAATGGGGTTTAAACAGCATCAAGACAGTCAGTGTCATTATCTTACTTGTATCTTGAAAATTCACATCATTTCCAAAGTAGGCATTCTTTAGTTTATTTGTCATAACACGTAGAGCCATGATTTGCTGTCTTATGGAAGTATCCGGGCTTGTGATATCCACTTCTACTTCTGGATTGTTGATCTGATTTATCAGGCCATCACTCATTATTCCAGAAAGATACCTAGGAAATAAATCATGGGTTAATTCTTTGAACTCTGTTTTGCAGGAAAAGGTATTATTCAGTAATATTGGCCTAAGCCCGCAATTAAATATTTTTGGATAAGCTTTTCAAAAAGGTTTAGGATTTTTGGATAAACTTTTAAAATTATTGTTTAAAAATATTAAAATTATTATTTAAATATTATTTTATTATTTATAATTACTATTAATACAAATATTTTTGTAATATTAAATCATTTTAAATGTTTATACAAAAATATCAAATCATTTTGAAAAGCTTCTGCAACAATATTAAATTGAGGCCTTAAAGTCTGATATTTCAATTATTTTTACACAAGTATGTAAGTGTGTAATATGTAAGAATAGAACATAATTAAACACCATTTTAGTTATATTTTTAGTTATTTTTTTTATATATATTATATAATTAACAAAAATATAATAAATTATATAGATTTCTTACTGCTATTAATTTTTACTCCCCTACTTTCTTGAAACGATCACATTGAAAAAAATTATCTAAACTAAAACACTACATGGACGAAACCTTGATCCCCTAAAACTATTTTTTTTTTGCCATGCACAAGTGTAAAGATTACCATCCTACAGACATTCCAGAATAATCATTCACTTATTTCTACATTTAAAAAAAACTCTTGCATATTTAGAATGTGAGTTACCTAAACTTGTATTAAGCATATCTTAAAAATACAAAATGTGGAATTTTTAGGCTTAGAGATAGCATCATGTTAAGTGCTGTACAATCCATCTATTTTACATTCGTAAAACTCTAAAATGATGCTTAATTTCACATATATTAGCATATCAGTTCTCTTTAGCTGCAAAAGAAAAACAGAAATAGAAAAAAATATATTTAAATTGCTCCAAAGTGACAGTGAACAAGAGGCCAATGTACAAATCTACAGTTTTCTTCAGCAGTCCAGCACAAAGTCAAAATGCGTGAAGTCTTGTTTTACATGAACTTTCTATTAAGAAGAATAGCTAATTGAGCAAAGGATAAATGTATTTGAGTCCGGTTAAAACCAAAATAAGTTTGATATGTGTAGGTGCTCAAAATTTAACCAATTGTGAACACACTGTGAACTGCAAAACTCTCCTATGACTTGTCCATCTCACATCAGTCAAAATAACCACAAATACCGAAAATAAATTGAGGTACGCTCATATACAAATATTTATACTTATCTACTGTTTCCAACCCTGAGGATGTAGCAGTGTACATGAAACAAAGAAAATGCTCAAATAATAATGCACATTAAACCAATGACAAACAATATTGTAAAGTGCTTACAGTAAATATAAAATATCTAAATTTTAAATAAAAAGTATTAATGTTGATTGATAGCCATACATTAAAGAAAACATATACATCACATATATACAATGTGTAAGTAGGTGAATAAATACAAAGAAACTGTTTTAATGTCAAAATTGTACAAGGAACATGTGTGTGGTGTGAGATCTTCCTTATGGTAGAATATGGTAATGCTAGCAACTTAGCAGACAGAGTACCCCGACTTGGCTCAATAAAACAGTGACCGGAAATAAGGTGTTATTCTCTGTAAATACGACTACTTGCCATCCAGAATACTTAGTTTATGGGGTTTTCCCCAGGGCTGTGAGATGTTCTACTGGGAACCCAGCGTAGTGTATAAGCACTTATAAACATAGGGAACCACAAAGAAGAGATGCAGAAAAACAGGTTTCATAAAATTAATCCACCTTATTATTCTAGAATAGCATTTAAAATTAATAAACAACTTAAAAAGCTTAAAACCAAGTTATAAACATTAAGGCCTTTGGGACAGGTAAATAATAATAATACAAAAGTATGGAGTGCTTTTAGCTTTAACATCCAGCCACGAGGCTAATGAATATGGTCTCTGTCTCCCCTGGTGGGTAACTCATCTCAAGACACGTTTCGCACCAATCGTGCTTATTTTTTTTTACAACATTTTTTTCACTTTATTTTTTACTCTAGTTTATTTACCTTTTTTTATTTATAGAGAAAATTGTGTACGTTTGTAACTATTTAGATATTTTGAAAATAAACAATATTTTAACATTATTGCTGTAAAGGAATATACACGCTTAGCAATGTTATTTGGGACACAACATGTTAATGACAAATGTCATTTTGTTTTTCATTAACCTCACCATCTTGGAGTACCATTCTTGAGATTGTGTGAGTAATGATGATGACTGAAGTTAAAGGGACATCCTAGACACACCAGAACAGCTTAAAGGGACACTATAGTCACCAGAACAGCTACAGCTTATTGAATTTGTGTAGAATCATTACCCAGGCTTTTTGCTGTAAACACTGTCTTTTCAGAGAAAATGCAGTGTTTACATTACAGCCTAATGATAACTTCACTGGCCACTCCTCAGATGGCTGATAGAGATCCTTCCTGGGTCATGGCTGCCTAAAATGCATCCAAACATTCAGTATCTCCTCCCTCTGCATGCAGACACTGAACTTTCCTCATAGAGATTCATTGATTCAATTCATCTCTATGAGGAGATGCTGATTGGCCAGGGCTGTGTTTGAATCATGCTGGCTCTGCCTCTAATCTGCCTCTTTGTCAATCTCAGCTAATCGTATGGGGAAGCATTGTGATTGGATCAGGCTACAACTTCTGATGGTGTCAGCAGACTGCATGCAGCTTCTGGCTTGAATACAGTAAGATGTTGCTATATTTATGGAGGCATGAGGGGCCTAGAGGGGCTAGATGGTGGCTTTAACCCTATAGGGTCAGGAATACATGTTTGTGTTCCTGACCCTATAGTGATCCTTTAATGGTAGAGATTTTGGAGCAAAGAGCATTTATCTTTGCACTATAAATGCTGCCTTTCCTTGAAAAGGCAGTGTTTCCATTTGCTTCTCTAGTGAATTTTTTTTGGGACTCTTGAATTCTTCCCAAATGTCAGTTCAGCCTGGCAGAATTTCCTGTTTCCCGCTCTAATGGTTACTTCTCGTCACTTGATCTGTGAACCAAATATAGGAAAATGCACCTATCAGCGTACTGCAAAATATTTAAATAATATTCACATTTTCTTACCTTTTGGTCTAGCCAAATAGTTTTTTCCAGAAATGATCATATGCAGGAAATTTGTCTGAAGCAAAAAGCCACGAGGATGAATATCTAATTGACTTACACATTTTTTTTCCAGATAATAAAATGTACACACTTCTGTGATATATGAAATTCCAAGATATCCATTAAATCTTACAAAGGATAAGAGCATTGAACAGAAAATAGGATATTAAATAAGTTACCGTGCTTTACTGTGTCCATTCCAGCATTCTTCTTCATCCCGTAATCGTCCAGTTAATCTCTTTTCTTTACAAATGCTATGTGGTAAGGAAGACCAAATTTTTTTTGATAACTTCAATTTCTCCTTCATATCTGTTATCTGAGCAGAAAAAAATATAAAACAATTACTATGAAATTCAGAATATTAAAATATCTACTTATGATTTTCAAAGACTATACAACACATACATTGTATTTGTATTTTTACAACAACATTAAAATAAATGAAATGTGTATGTAGATGTATCATGTCACCATGAAAAGTTTTATGTCAATCAGAAACACTCTGACATGTACTTAATGGATATTGGTGTAGATGTTTTTTTTTTTTGCTCTTCTCCGAGTGTACAGAATCAAAATATTCAAACTTAATACAATATGTTGGACTCCATCCAGACGGACACTGAACGTGGACATATCAACACACTGATTTCTTCTCGTTTTGTTTTCTTTCAGGTGAAATACAAAAAGCTAGATCTAAGTACATTTTAATCATGGGGAGAGGCAGGAATGTATTTACCACAAGGCAAACAAAGCATTTGCCTAGGGGGGCACTTTCGGGCACCACAAAATGCAACCCCAAGCTCCCAGACAAATGCCTTTATTGTCTCGTGTTCTGGGGCTGTCTACCTTAATGTGAGTGAGTGTACCTGTCAGTGTGTGTCTGTGAGTGAGAATGGGTGTGCCTGTGAGTGTGTGCCAGTTATTTTATGTGTATCTGAGAGTGTGTGCCTGTCAGTGAGTGGGTGTGTCAGTGTGTGTCTGTCAGTGAAAGTGTGTGCCAATGACTGTATGTGTGTGCCAATGACTATGTATATCAGTGCATGTATCAATGAGGGCATGTGTCTGTCAGTCAAAAAAATGGCCTTGACATGAATTGGGGGGGGGGGGCAAATTTAGATTTTGTGGGTGCCCGAATTTAGTTGTGCCTAGGGCAGCACAAATCCAAAATACACCACTGGGGAGAGGCTATTGTCCATTATTGTATTTGGATCATATTCTTTGACTGTCTGAAGGGGTGTGACTCATTTGCTCCTAACAAGTGCAAACTCTTCACCAGGATGAGATGCAAAAAAAAAATGTTGTTTACATAAAAGGAAAACGACAAAGACAATAATATTAAAATTATGTATAGTAATAAAATATTTAATAAATTGATTAATAAATGAATTCATGAAAATAAATATAAAGTATAAACAGGAGAGATGCTACTTGTGGGAAAACAAACTCCACTAGAAGAATATGTGACTAACTAAAGGATCATCAAAAAAGCACAACAAACACATACTACAGCACATAATACTGTATAAGATTTATTAAACAAATTACTTAAAACGTTATAACACTTAAAAGTTTATCATTCTCTTATATATACAGCCTGATATACTAAATCATCAACAGGAGCAATAAGTAATGAAAAAGTGAAAAATTGCTATTGCAGTTAAACAGCACAGGGACTGGTATCATACTGCTCGGCGGAGTTCTTTTGTGTTCTTTGTGCTTTTTCAAGGGACCAAAAAAACCTACATAAGTAAAATAAATATTATACTGGACATAACATCATATTTTGGGGTAATGCACCTGAGGAAGACGCAAATGAGCGTTGAAACGTGTTGTGCTTATGCTATTGAACTGTGGCATTCCAGT